TAAACGATACTGGTCGTGCTGTTCAGGCGTTAGTGGCGCAGGTGTCCGAGCTCACCCGGCAGATCCAACAGCTACGAGCTCCCACTGCGCCGCCCACACCGGCCGTTCCTCCCACACCAGCGGAGAACCCATCCCAGTCGGAGCCACGCCTACCTACCCCAGAGCATTATTCAGGTGATCCTAAGTTTTGCAGAGCCTTTTTAACCCGGTGCTCCATGCATTTTTCCCTCCAGCCTCAGACTTTCCGGACTGAGCGTTCCAAGGTCGCCTTTGTGCTAACCCTCCTGACTGGGAAAGCGGCATTATGGGGAACGGCCGTGTGGGAGAACGACGACCCATGCTGCACCTCGTTCCAGGAGCTCTCCGCTGAGATGAAAAGAGTTTTCGACCGGACGGCCGGCGGAAGAGAAGCTGCAAGAATGCTGGCTGAGTTACGTCAAGGAGAAAGATCTGTGTCGGACTTTTCAGTCGAGTTCCGGACCCTGGCAGCGGAGAGCAAATGGAACGAGGAGGCGCAGTGGGACATGTTCCTGCATGGGCTGGCTGACCGCGTCCAAAGAGAAATCTACGCTTTGGACCTGCCCCAGTCTCTTAATGAACTCATCGCTTTAGCTCTCAGAGTTGACGCCCGACTGTCCCGAGTTGGTGGCCATGCCATGAGTAGACGCCCCCTGGCAGGAGCCGAGGGGGCACGAGTTGGAGGCGGGGACGCGGTCAGCCCCGTCAACGATCACGAGCCCATGCAGGTGGGTCGAGCTCGGCTTTCCCGGGAGGAGAGGGAAAGGCGGAGGTCCCAAGGCCTTTGCCTGTACTGTGGTGGAACCGGACACTATGCTTACAGCTGTCCGGTAAAAGGGCAAGCCCGATAGTAAGTATGAGGCTACTATCGGGTGGGATCTCCGCCGAGAAGACCTCATCAACATCTACCCTCCTTCCGGTAAGACTGAGGTGGTCAACACTCACACACGACTGTCGAGCACTTTTGGACTCCGGAGCAGAAGGTAACTTCATGGATCACTCATTCGCACGCCAATTCAAGATTCCCCTCAGGACCCTCACACATCAGATTGCCGTACACGCACTTAATGGACAAACACTCCCCAATATCACGCTTGCCACAGAAGACATCACCCTCACCACATCTGGCAACCACACTGAGATCATCTCCTTCTATATCCTGAACACCCCCCTTGCACCCATTGTCCTCGGTCACCCTTGGCTCACTCTGCACAATCCTAAAGTGGACTGGCAACTCAAGTCTGTGTCTTCATGGAGTAACCAGTGTCATAAGTCTTGTCTAGTGTCTGCCTGTCCGTCTGTTTTTGTCCCTGTGTTGCAGGAGGAGGCAGTGGATCTATCTAACGTGCCCGCGGAGTATCTGGACCTGAAGGAGGTGTTCAGTAAGTCTCGAGCTGCTTCTCTCCCTCCGCATCGTCCCTATGACTGTGCCATAGACTTATTACCAGGTACGGCTCCGCCCAAGGGCAAGTTATATTCGCTCTCTACACCTGAGAGAGAGGCTATGGAGAAATATATTTCTGATTCTCTAGCAACAGGGTTCATCCGCCCTTCCTCTTCTCCAGCGGGGGCTGGGTTCTTTTTTGTGGGGAAAAAGGACGGATCTCTGCGACCTTGTATTGACTACCGCGGGTTGAACAACATCACGGTAAAGAATACTTATCCTTTGCCGCTGATGTCTTCAGCCTTCGAGAGGTTGCAGGGAGCGACCATCTTCACAAAATTGGATTTACGTAATGCTTATCATTTGGTCCGCATCAGGGAGGGGGATGAGTGGAAGACCGCGTTTAACACCCCCAGGGGACACTTTGAATATTTGGTTATGCCTTTCGGGCTGTCCAACAGTCCAGCGGTCTTCCAGGCACTCGTCAATGACGTGCTGCGAGATATGATAGATCAGTTCATTTATGTCTACCTGGACGACATACTGATTTTTTCCTCTTCTCTCCAGGAACACGTGCAGCACGTCCGACGAGTGCTTCAGAGGTTGCTAGAGAATGGGCTTTTTGTCAAGGCGGAGAAATGCGATTTTCATGCACAGTCTGTTCCATTTCTAGGATACATTGTGTCGGTTGAGGGAATGCGCATGGATCCTGAGAAAATCAAGGCTGTGGTAGAGTGGCCAAGTCCTGAGTCTCGTAAGGCCCTACTGAGATTTCTGGGGTTCGCCAATTTCTACAGACGTTTTATTCGTAATTTCAGCCAACTAGCTGCACCTCTGACCGCCTTGACCTCCCCCAGAACGACGTTCAGGTGGTCAGACGCAGCCGGGGCTGCGTTTGCTAAACTGAAGGCTTGCTTCGTTTCAGCCCCCATTCTGACAACCCCTGATCCTTTACGTCAGTTCGTGGTGGAGGTCGACGCGTCAGAGGTGGGGGTAGGAGCAGTGTTATCCCAGCGCTCTCTTTCAGACGACAAGATGCATCCTTGCGCGTTTTTGTCTCACCGTCTATCACCTGCCGAACGCCATTATGACATTGGGAACAGAGAGTTGTTGGCAGTCAAGTTAGCGTTGGAGGAGTGGCGTCACTGGTTAGAAGGGTCGGGGGTACCTTTTATCGTTTGGACCGACCACAAGAACTTAGAATACATTCGAACTGCTAAAAGGTTGAACTCCAGGCAGGCTCGGTGGGCACTTTTTTCGGTCGTTTTGATTTTACTCTTTCGTACCGCCCGGGTTCTAAGAACATCAAACCCGATTCTTTATCGCGCATTTTTGACCGTTCCGAACGCCCGTCTACTCCCGAGTGCATTTTACCGGAGAACCTATTCATCTCCACACTCGGTAGTTTTTACCGGAGAACCTATTCATCTCTACATACGGTAGTTTTGACCGTAGTGGACCGGTTCTCGAAGGCGGCTCATTTCATTCCCTTGCCCAAATTACCCTCAGCCAAGGAGACAGCGGTGATTGTCGTTGACCACGTCTTTCGGTTACATGGCCTCCCGACAGACGTGGTTTCTGACAGGGGACCCCAGTTTGTGTCCAAATTTTGGCAAGAGTTTTGTAAGCTTCTGGGGGCGACTGTCAGTCTATCCTCAGGGTTCCACCCCCAGAGCAATGGCCAGACTGAGAGAGCCAACCAGGATTTGGAGAGAACGTTACGATGTTTGGTTTCCAAAAAAAAAACCTTCCTCATGGAGCCAACAACTTTCTATGGTGGAGAACGCCCACAACACGTTGCCAGTGTCATCCACGGGCCTATCTCCGTTTGAGTGTAGTGTAGGTTACCAGCCACCAATTTTTCCTAGTCTGGAATCCGAGGTCGCGGTCCCCTCTGCTCACGCCTTCATCCAGCGGTGTCACCGCACTTGGACTAGAGCCCGTGAGACTCTTCTCCACGTGGGGTTGCGCACTAAGGCCAAAGCCGATCGCCACCGGTCTAGGCCCCCCGTATACGTCGTTGGTCAAAAAGTGTGGCTTTCTACCAAGAACATTCCTCTCCGCTCCGTATCTAATAATCTTGCTCCCAAATTCATTGGCCCGTTTACTGTCACCAAGATCATTAGTCCGCTGGCAGTCCGCCTCAAACTCCCTCCGGTGTACAGGAGAATTCACCCCGTCTTTCATGTGTCCAAAATTAAACCCGTATTTCATTCTCGTATTAATCCGCCTACCCCGGTTCCTCCCCCGCCGCGGCTCGTAGATGGGGAACCAACTTATTCGGTCAATCGTGTGCTGGACTCAAGGCGGAGGGGGCGCGGGTTCCAGTACTTGGTGGACTGGGAAGGTTACGGTCCTGAGGAGAGAAGTTGGGTACCGGCTAGAGACATTCTGGATCACTCCCTTATCGATGATTACAATCGACAGGTAAGGAGTCCTGGGAACGCCAGGACGCGTTCCTAGGGGGAGGGGTACTGTCACGGTATTTGGATCCAGTGTCTCTCTCTAGTCTCGTGCTTTGTTGTTTACATGTGTGTGAGTGTGTGAGTGGGTGTGTCCGGATCGTCACAGTCAATCAGCATCCAGCTGCGATCACTCACCAGTACCAGCTGCCACTCATCTAACTCCCTATAAATACTTACAACTTTCTCATTCCCATTGTCAGATCGTTGTATGAAGTCTTCGTATTACCTGTTCCTGTTCCCGTGCTTTCGTGTCTCGTCTCGAGTTCCTGTGTTCCGGTTTTCTTCGTGTTGTATTCGTTTCGTGTCTGGATTCGTCATCACCCTTCAGAGCACCCTGCACTTCATCCTTCTCACTGTGTCTGACCACTGAAGTCCCTGCGCCGCCGCCTGCATCACCTGGACTTTGCATCATCATCATCATCTTTTATTTCACTCAATAAAGAGTTTACTTGCATCTTGTGTCCTCGTATCTAAACGTAACACCAACCCATATTCAGTGCTAAACAAAGAAAAATTCAAACCTCTTTTGGTTACAGTGTCCGTCAACATTACACTACTACATAATAGTTATACTATTAATCCAATGACAGTAATAGCCATGTTTTGTAAAACAAATGCACTAAAAAATAAAGGAAACTTTCATAATTAGTTTTGTACCAATTTCTATACTTGAAAAAGATAAGCACATGATCTTTTATTTTGACGGAAACTGCATCAAGCTTTTATATCCAGGAGAGCTGAGGATCACTGCCAAAACCTGCCTCTGTAGTGATCATTTTACACGGGATAGTTTTATAAACTTTCATCGAAGACAACTGGGATTCACTGATAATCCGCTGTTACTGGTGAATGGCTTATAAATAAAAAATAAATGTATTAATGTGGCCGAACCGACTATCAACCGCCTAGGCGTTCATCCTCCCGTCGCGCCGACAACTGGTGCCATCATTGGCAGTGCGTGCCCACCAATGAGTATAAGTTGCCTTGTGTGCTTATGTTATAATTATAGTAGGTAGTCCAGGCTCGAACATGTATGGCTGTGTAAAACCAATTAAGCTGCTAGCATCCAGCTTTTTTCAAATATTGCCAGTGGGTGGAGTCAGGCTCTGACCAGGGGTTTAGTTACCCTTTAATATGCCATAAATGGTAACGTTTGTTCTTTGCACAGGACACCGGTTGTTACTTCCTGATATTATGTGTATAAATATTACCCCTCTACACTCAATAGATATGAGAATATAACTGTATTGCACAGGCTCTGGCTCTTCACAAAATCTGCTAAAGGCAACTGTTTGAAAACCAAGGTTAGTTTTTGGAACAGAAACCATCTGAATAGGTTATTTGACATACACAAATATAAGATCTTATTCATTTCAGGTTCATCATGGCAATGCTGAAAAGTTGTCTGCTTCTTTTCATTATCTTCTCCATGGGGAATACAGAAGGTAACCAAGACATTTATTTTGTAAAAACCTAAACATTTTGGAAATATGAAATATTCTATTGATTAATAATTCCATGATTATTAAGGAGTTTACAGTGTATAAAGTGCACATATTTTCAGCACATAATCACACAAACATAAAATAAGCTACATAAATAAAAAATAAAAACTAATTATTTGCAGTGACTATTACAAGAGATGTTAATGGACTGGATGGACTGGATGTTGATTTAGCCAGAAGATGCCCCGATACATGGATAAAATCAGGACTCCGATGCTACAAGTTCTTTTCTCATCCAGCTAAATGGATCACAGCAGAGGTAATGTGTACAACAAGATTTGGTCAAACTTAATATTAGGTGTCTTTAACTACATCTTAAAAGAAAGATGTAAAGATATGCATGTACACAATAAGTGCATTGTATCAAATTATTAATTTAAACTGAAACAAATAATTCTCTGGTGAAGTAAATACTACTGAAAAAAAAAACAGATGTAATTACTACATGGAAAAGCTAGTTCAGCCAATAATAATAAAAAAAAAATAAAGTCTATATATGTACTTAATTCAAGCATGTGTAAATTAAACCGTTGATATCAATGATATAAAATTAAGTAAAACCTACTCAACTTTTATAACACTGGTGTTACCATCATGCACTGGGCATGAATAATAAATAAGGTTGATTTTTCACTGTTTTCCAGCTGCATTTGCTCCATTTTATCATTGCTTTTGTTGTTAGGTTTAAAACTTGCCGTTTTGTGACATCTGGATTCATTTTCCACGCAAAATAACACAGTCATACTCAAAAACGATCTATCGTATGTTACCGTCATTGTGTACCAATTATCGAGGTATCTGTGTTCATGTAGTTTGTAACTTTTGTTTACTTAGATAAAGTATTGAATTTATACAATATTTATTGTATTATTTATTTAGATATTTCTAAGTAAAGCATACACTGTAAATGTGTGGTTTAATTCAGTGTTATTTTGTTGAGTAAAAAGTTAATTTTGTTAAATTTACTGAAGTTAGTTAAGTAGATGTTTATTTATTCTATATGCGAAATTAAATAAATGAAATATTATTAAGTAATATTTACTTAATTTCTTCAATTAAATGTCAAATGAATGTGAAGTTCAATAGTAAGTAGATTTTACTTGATAACTGGCAAGTTGTACAGAGCAGTAGCAGTAAAATTTACTTAACTTGTGGCAAATTGTTACAGGGATTTTAACAATAGATCAATTAGAACAGACTTTGTTTGCAAATGTCTAAAATGTTGTCAGTTTTGCTTTATGCTACATAACATTTGATTTTGTATAATGACAAAAAAAAAAATCTGTCTCTTTAGAGAAACTGTCAAAGACTTGGAGCGAACCTCGCATCTGTCCGTAAAAAACAGGAAAATGATTTCCTGCTGAGTCTGTTGCCTTCTTCCACTCCTACTTGGGTTGGTGCTCATGATGCTATAGTAAGTTCAAATGTGTGTCCTACACTCTAAAAGAACACTGGGTTAAAAACAACCCAAGGGCTGGGTAAATAAAGGACAGAACTCATGCTGGGTTAATTTTACAGCTAATCGGGTTGTTTATTTAACCCAGCATAATGGGTTGATTAAGCCATCAGAGTTGATTCTTTTTTATTATTATTTCTTTCCTTCATACATGAATGAATGTCTACGAATGAACTTAAATCATAAACGTTTTTAAAACACTCGATACATGGCTTGCATGATAATTTCCTTCATTTTCAAGCATATTTTACAGTATAGTGTTTTTTATATCCTTTTTTGGTAACACTTTACTTGAAGGGGTGTGCATAAGACTAACATGACACCTTCATAATCATGACATGACACATGTTATGAATATGAAGGAAGTTGTATGCATGTTTATGACAACTGTCATTAAGTGTCATTCGCTCAGTTATGACATTTTTAATGCAAATATGACATTGTTTGAGATGTCTTTGTTATGACACCTTGACATAAACAAATACATCATAACCTGTCAGTGTCTTTATCATGACAACTTGACATTACTAAGACAACAAAACCTGTCATAAACATGACATAGCAGATTAATTATCAAACTTAAGAAACCACTTAGCTTTATTGGTTAACATTACATTAAACTGTTAGGTGGTTGGTTTTGACATTGGCTGTCATGAAGCCATTATAACTTTTTAATGACAAATTCAATTTGTACCACTGTAGTTGAGGTCACGAAAAATATTCATGACACAGTTATAATGGTCTCATGACAGCCAGTGTCAAAACCAACCACATGACAGTTTAATTTAATTTAATGTCAAGTTGTCATGACAAACACTGACAGGTTATGATGTTATGGTTTATGTCAAGATGTCATAACAAAGACATCTTAAACAATGTCATATTTGCATTCAAAAGGTCATTATTGAGCGAAAGACGCTTAATGACAGTTGTCATAAACATGCATAAACCCTACTTCATATTCATGACATATGTCATGTCATGGTTATGAAGGTGTCATGTCAGTCTTATGCACACCCCTTCAAGTAAAGTGTTACCAATTTTTTATACATATTGACAACATTTAAGCTTGTTTAAGAAATATTAGTAAAAAATTAAACATTTATAAGTAATTAAAGTGTAATCGACAAGTCTCTGTTTTCCCGTTTCCAGCGTGGGGCGCTGGATCTCGAACAGGTGTTGTGCCGAATTTCAAACCCTGCCAAATTATTTCCCCCCCTAGCATTGGTTGGTTTAGGATTAGTTTTGGGGGAGGGGTGGAGTTAGGATTAGGCAATCAGGTACTGACTTCAACAAGGGGAGTGATAAATTGGCAGGGGGTCGAAATTTGTGTCATGTTCAGCTGGAAAACTTTAGACCCTGCGTTTCACTCTTAGCCGAAATATGCTTTGGCTGACTACATAACGTCCATAAACAATCAGTGCACAGTTCTGAGAACATATTTTAATATCATACATATTTATGTTTTAAATTAATTAAATTTTATGCAAGGCATCAGATGTTTCCATCAGGTGAAAAGACCGACGCGAGCCATGCGACACTAGTGTAAAAGGTGACTCCCCTGTATGTTGCTTTGCATAAAATGTAAACAATATACAGCACAAAAACAAATTTAAAGATAAAATTAAATGTACACAAACCTGTATTTTACAGAAGACGTAGGCCTACACCATTTTGACGGTGCTGCGCTCTCCTGAAGAGACCTGTGGCGAAAGCCTGCGATAAATAACACTCCCTGGTTTGTTACGTCTGACCCAAGCTCTGGGTAGCACAAGAAAACTACCCAAATACTGAAAAAATAACCCAACATTTTTTGTAAAGAGAGTGTAAAGAGACCGATTTGTTTGTCTAAAAAATAAAAATTCAGCTTTAAACAGTAAAGGCAAAGTTTCTAATGAAGATGTTTTGACTTCAAATCTGATCTTAATTGGCTTCTTCCTGAAGTCTGACAACAGTAATGCACTCACTTGTATTCACTCTCTTCACTCTTTAGAATGGACATTGGATGTGGAGTGATGGAACTGTGTTTTCGTATTCCCACTGGTGCGCTGGAGAACCTAACTCAAATCCACATGGTTATTATAGCTGTGTGGAGATCAGCTATTCCTGTAAGAATGCAGTCTGTTTTTTAATACTTTCAATTATAATTTACAATCCTACAATTTTACATCATACAGTAACATGAAATCACTCAATTTGGATTTCACAAAGTGCCTTAAATTAAATATTCCATTTCATTTTGATTCTAACACCAATATAATGATCAGAATAACTTATTTCATTATTTCACCTTACAGCTAACCGTTGCTGGAACGACATTGGCTGTTTTTACTCAAAGCCCTATATTTGTGTTAAGGAACTGCGAGACCGTCATGCTGATCCACAGTTACTTTGATTTAACCACATTTACTACATTTTTCTGACATTATATTGTCAAAAATGTTATTCTGAAATCAAATCTCTTCTAAACTTTAATCTCTTTTCAGTATCTTCTCTGAAACACTCCTCAAATTAATAAAAGCATTGAAAAAGCAAATTGTGCATTGTGGATAATATAAGTATATATGACATTAAATTATGTCATCATCAGGGGCGGGGTTTATGCATGCTGTGATGCACACATGCTTCATCATCGGCAAAGATGGCATTTGCATGTTATAAGCAAATATAGAACTCATCCAGGGCCCCTTTTGTTTTCTGTCTTATAAAATATCGCATTATTTTGGTGTGACACCTCTGCAAACAAATCAGAGATTGAGTGAACTGTTTGAACGAATCAAACTGAATCAAAAACCATTTCAGAACATTTTCTAAACCTGTTTAAATTAGATCAATAGTGATTCGCTCACTATTCTGGCATTGCTAGTTCTGATTCTGAACAGCTGATAGAAAACAGGAATATGCTCGGGTCGAAAGTAATCTACAATATCAGAAAATGATTTATCAGCAATATTTTACTGGGGCACAATGTGTATTTCAAAAAGGGTCCAGCGACGCCCTCAGATCTATATTGGGTAAGACTAAAAATACTGGTAGGCCTGCATGAGACAAAAGGGCCCTGCTGGCTAATTAACATTCGACCTCCCCCATACACCTTTCTCCCTCTCCGAAACAACTAAGAACTCACACAAGAACATGGTTTAATGTGATTTTTTATCATTGACTTATGTTTTTGGTGTCATTTGAAATGTCTCAAAGTGAGTGGTACAGATATCTCATATCCAGATAGATCAAATAAAAGGAAATAAGGTTTATAGAAGTTTAGAGAAAACTGGTTCAGAGATAAGGCCACCCCCCTTTTGTTGGATAGAAGCCATTTGAGGATGGTCTCCCCCATCCCTGGTCAAAGAGGATAAAGGAAGGTGTGCTCCCTCTCTCTGGCTCTCTTCTTTGCTGGGCATGAATTCATGCAGGTACAAGCTGGGTAAGATTATTTGGTGTAACCACTGTATAACCATGTTCTAGATATTTGAATTGATCTCTGATATCTGAAATATTAAATTGTTACATGTGATTATTCTAACTGATTTTGACATTGTTCATTTAATGGTTAAAAGGAATAGTCAAACATTCGCTCACTTTTAGTGAGGCACAGATATTATTAAAACCTTTCATTTATGGAGTCAGTTGAAATAACAAGTAAATATATATGATTAATGTATTGCAAATTTAACCAACCAATACTTTGCATGAGTGAGGACAGAACATGTGTATTGGCGAACCGGCATTGGACCAATATATCGGGCTTTACAATGGTATCGCAAAATTTTAAAACAATGAAAATCATTTTAATTCAGCGATCTGCATCAAAGGCAGAACATTGGTTTTGGTTTAGGCCTATTTTTAGATTAAACTAGTTTTAATAACATACTTCATTTTATTTGTAAATTGGTCTCAGTTCATTTTACACTTGCAGTTATTTTTAGCCAATTTATTATCTTCGAAATGTGGGTGATTTCAGCAAACATGCAGTGATCCTGCAGTTGTGACACTCTCAGGGTCATATTCTTAAAGGTCATATCATTTTTCTGCCAGTGTCTGGGTAATTTTAAGAATAAATGCAATGAATGACTTACAATTTATGATTTATGTTTGATAGTTTATTTTTTTACTTTATAACATTTATTTTGTTTTCATCAGTATGGACGAGAAACTAAACGCTGCTAACAACCTTGATTTTTTTTTCAGTAGCATAACAGTAGTCCTGTCCATAAAACATAAAGGTAGAAATTCATAGAATTAATTTAATTCTCATCTTTATTATACTCTCAATCATAATTAGATATAAAATCTCACCTTAAGTTTCCTTGATAGTGGTGAAGTCCAGATGAAGTGATGAGGACAGCTCAATATCCACTCCTGCTCCAGTTCTGTAGGATGATGACGACGAGTCAGGGAACAAAACACAGGGGTGGGTGAAGAAGTGTTGATCCTACAAATAATACAAACCACTAATTTTTAATCATTTTTTTTTTTTAGATTAATTGATATCCCTAATTAGCAAATATGTAGTTAGTGCAGTGTCCAGGAGGATTCGAGTAGGCTACCTGTTTAGTAGGCAGCAGGCTATAGGGTTGTTTACTAGTCAAAGTGCCCACATCTCTGTGCTTTTCTCAGTCTCTGTGCTTTTCTCAGTCTCTGTGATCTTCTGGTTTGATGTCTCTGTTTCCTCCTTCAATGTGTGTCTGAGGGACTTTTCACCTGATTCATCATCTTCATTCAGGTGAAAATCTGCTCACTTATACAGCACGTCTCCTCAACAACACACATTATTTTAGGAATCATTCTTGAACGGAGCAAAGGACTGAAACTGTTTACTCTCAGATTTTCTGACATGAAGTCAGATTTACAGCTCATGCGGGAGACGGTATTAACTTTGATGCTGCCAAGATGACGTCACGTGAACACGGCTTCGTCATTTTCATAGACAGTATAAGAAGTGGACAGAGCCATCTCATTGGAACTCAGTTGAGACAGTTGAAGCCCATTTTTAGCGATTTTTGAGCACTTCCGTTCCTGACGCGCAGACTCAAACCGACTCAAACTAAGCTTGAGGACGTGAGCAACCTGTCTGACAGACGTTAATCTTCTAGTAGCTGTGTGTGAAAATTGCCAACGTTAATCTTGCAGAGACGGGGAACTTGAGCAAAGAGTTCTTTGGCGTGAGTAGACTCATTATCTATGGGCTTCTCCCTTGACGGGACGTCCCCCCGATTGCCTGCGAGCTTCTCCTCCTGTCTGTACGGTCATTTCTGTACAGCGCGACAGAGAGTCGAGTGGTTATGACGCAATCGTTAGCCTATTTTTACAAAATCTATTTCTACGGGGCCATAATGTAACATAGAAGGTAATGGAGCACTTTATACATTGTCGTGTTTCTTTAGAAATAAATAATGGACAAATGGAGTCTTTAAACGCCTCAGATGTAAAGTTATTCGCTGTCAAAGTGACGCCAAAATGAATGGGAGTCAATGGAAATGCTAACGCAAGTGAAGTTCTGCTACAAGATGGCGGCACCCGGCCGGCTTCAACTTCCGGTCGATGGATTACCCCCTTGGTCATTTTCTACCGGGGTGCGTCGCTAATAACGGAACGTATGGGAAACAATAAACAAACATTAGTTCCTAGGACAGGCTTTCTGACAGGTATAGAGAATTGTGAATTTGTCCTGGTATCTAAAATTTAAATATCATAATATATTATTATCATATCATATAATTTCTAGCAAATACATGCTTGATATATATCATTATCGTTAAATAAATTACTCATATAAAGTTTTGGTCATATGGCCCACTCATACTCGTGATTGTAATATTGACCAAAATAATCATGATTATGATTTATGCCCTAATCGAGCAGCCCTAGCATGTGCCTGTGCTGTCAATGCCTAAATCCACCACTGACTCATTACCATGATGACTCAATCCATTACCATAAACAAAGGCACAAACTATGAAAAACCCTCTTTTTCTTCCTTTCTGCCATTCACCTCTAGCTCTAATTAGCATTTTTTTTACAAAACCTGCCATTCCATTCTATGAATCAGGGGCGGACTGGGCATCTGGAGCACCGGGACTTTTCCCGGTGGGCCGCTGGCCAATGTGGGCCGGCCCGGTATACACATATAAAAATATATGTATAAAAAAATGACGGAAATCATAATATTACATTTCTTTTCTACGCAAATGGATGAGGGAATCGATCGCGCGGGCGCGGCCAAGTGTGTTTCGTGTGCATGCATGTGCCCTTCCTCCCTGTTAAGTTTGGTCTACTCCAGATTGCGTATCTTGAAACACGCCCTCTTTCACGTCCTGGAAACACACCAAGCCAACGCCGATGAACTAGCGCAGAATCAGATGAAAAAAGCCGACTGTGTTGTCGCGCCGCGTCGCCTGTGTCGCGGGAAAAAAGCTGCACTTGAACACACCGAGAGAACTACAGCCGACTGTTAGCTAGAATGCGCGTAAATGAGATAACTGTCTATTTCTGCAGATATATTCGTCTATATTCGTCTTTCAAAAAGAGAAACCGACGCTGCCGGCTGCAGATACACACCGTAAACAAAGCAGTGCGTGTTTACCGTTCTGAATATCAATCCTGCTAAACACTCTCTTTATTCCACTCCGCTCATGTTAATATTTAAATATTCGCCAAGGAACACTCAGGTAATATGACGTAAATTAGAACAGCCTTCTATCTGTACCGTTTTAACTTCTTTGCTCTCTGTTTTGCTATTATTCTCGTGCAGTGCACTGACTCGTTCATTAACCTGAACAGCCAATCAGAGTTCCCTCTTTCACTGACATGTCGAATCGGCCGAAAAAAAGCCAGCGAGGACCAATTTCAGCCGACGGTTAAAAAAGCATTAGAGGTAGATGCTGTGAAATGCTTCAAATTAACAGATTATACATTTTGCTTGAAGAGTAGCAGTTCAGCAGGCTCTGATGGCTATACCTAGCTCCCCTAGACTAGCTGATATGCTGTCCTGATAGTTTTATATGTTGTGTTTTTTAATGTTCTTCTGTTTGTTTCCCTTTGGTTTTACAAATATGACCTAATATATGTTGTGTTACTTAAAATAAATGTTTAAATAGCATTTATTTTTGTATTGAGTAATGTTTTATGCTATAAGTGGTGTTAAAAAATATTCTGCACATTAATGGGCCAATGTGTTATGATTTGGGATGTGGTGGGCTGCTGTGGGCCAGAAAGTCCAGGGCCACTTTTTGGTCCCAGTCCGCCCCTGCTATGAATATTGATAAATGTTCTCTTTGTATGTTCTGTGTTTGTGTTTTCTTTCAGAGTGTTAAACAGGAGGATGAGGTGATATACGCAGGTGTCATCAGCAGACGTTAATTACATTCTCTGTGAGTCTTTTTTCTCATCATTGATGCTCTTATCAATAAGGTTTTCATGCACACTAGAAAGATTATTGCAACAAAGCTGTTTAAGATTTAGAATCAGTGTTCTTGCTTACATATGCTCATACTGTTTTCTGAAAGGTGCATATGTGCGAGAGATAACTAAAGTAAC